TATATATATATGATATGCATATTTCAAATTTTATTTTTGCTAACTAAAATAAACCATTGTGACATATGTTACGATGTCTTACAAACATTTTCAGGGAGTGGGATGTTAAATCCTGCTCGTAAAATGTATTTCAAGAGTTGCATCAGACTAATAATTTCAGCGGCTTTATCAGTTCGTATCTTAAAACTAATTTTTTTTCCCCTGAAAGAGGTTTTATGGTATTTATTCATTTTTATCTTTTTGATTAAATATACACAATGAGGATAGTCCATAAGTATAGCGTGAGGAGTGAAAGTAACACTAAAAGAACTTTCACCGCTTTTCATAATGTACGCCAAGATTATAAGCAAGCCAACAGTTTAATTTCAGTATATGTTTGACAAATTCAAAATTGTAAGTTATAGCATTTTTTTTCTGTATAACATCTAGTTATATAATTTAAACTTGCGTTTGTGCATAGGTATGTTGAGCTTCCACATGGACCATTTTTCCACTGTGACATATACAAAGTATATGTCGCCTTCTTATATGTTGCAATAGATATATATATAATTTGAAGCACAGTGAAAAGCGCGCTGACATTTGTATGTTTGCAGATATATAATGGAGTATTTTTCCACGCACTGCATTTTTTACGGCAAGCTTTTACTTTATATTTCTAAGCTCAAATGTAACAATAAAAATCATAATAATGATGCAAATAATAAATAGACCTATCATTGTTATTTTTATTTGTAAAACACATTTTAAGGGCTTTGAAAAAAAAAAATAGGCCTGATCCCGTTTTGGAATGCAATGCTTATTATCAAAGCAGCCAGGAATAGTCTCAGTGAGATTTTGTTACAACCTTTTACTTTCTCTTTAACATGGTGACTACATTTCGCTTCTGAAAATAGAGACTATAAATCTGTTTATTAATGAGGTTCCTCAAAGCTCTGCCTTAACTCATAATGAATGTTATTTGAGTTAAATGATTACTGTAGGAGGCCTTCAGGTCAGATGGTTAGTAAATCCCAAAGAAAGAATACTTGTACAACACTCAAATCGACTGAGCACTCCTGCAGAATTGTGTCAGAGTTAACTAGTGCCTGAGCTCCATTCACGCACTGTACAGTAGAATTTAAATGCTTACACAGGGGAAAACCATGCATGCATTTGTCAGCTTTACACATCCTTTCACAGGACATGAACTTACAGTCAGCCTCCCCGCAGCGTGCATGTAGAAGACTGAAGTCACAGGAGAGAAGCCTGATTTGAAAGACTCCGTGGCGTACAGAAGAGAAAAGTAAAACTATTTTTTAACTAGATTTTTCTCTAGAAAAAGTTGAGTGCTAAAAAAATAGAGTAAGATCAAACGTATGTTCTGTGGTTTTAAGTCTCAGAAGAAGCAGAAATCTGCATGAATGAGGCACTTACCGTTTTTTTTTGTGAGTTCTCTCTCAGGAGGGTGATAAGCTACCCTGCACCATGACTGTACAGTGACTTGTGAAGTGTTGGGGCACAGGTTAGTCTGTAGGACAAGGTGGTTTCCTCTTTGTCTTTATGGTCCCTCCTCTTCAAGTCTCCTATTGGTACATTGATTATAGGCCTAAATTGCTTGCTTTTCACTACAAAAAAGACTTTCTTCTTTGTTTACCCACATTTTGTTATAAAATCTTCGTCTTTGTTTTGTTTAGAGGGACAGAAGATTTCATGATTATTCATTTAGGACTCATTTGACTTGTTAGATGGCTGTTTTTTTGATACATGCTAAACATCAGCCCATGTATCCTTTGTCTGTTTTCACTAATCCTTTCAAGAGTAACCGAAATATAGCAACATGATATATAGATAGATAGATATATGGATAGAAAGAAATTGATTTATAAATAAAGAAAAAAGCAGGGTAAAACAAAAGGGGGAAAAAATGAGGACAGTGGTGGCATATTTGTGCATTGCTGTATATCTGTGAAAGCCGTACATGATTTCCTCCCCCTGCAGCCATTATCTGCTGGTCACTACATTAATAGACTATTCTGTGCTGTGACAGAAACCACTTGAAAGTGACTGGCCTGTGACAGGAAGTTTGCAGACCAAAGCCCATTGGTACTGACATGCAGGGAGAGCAGGCTTGCAAAACCTGCACCCTCAAAATAGAGATGTCTGCTTTTCCCTTTAGTCAGATATGTCAGATGTTAATGTGACAACCTTAAAAAATAGGCCAACTGTAGAGAATTGGTCACTTCATTAGACCACAGCGGTTGGCTAGTCCTACATTAAGAGTGTAGCTTTTGTTTAAAACTAGTTCATGCCGCTAAATTATTAATAACAAATTGTTCAGCAGTGACCTATTTACTCTTTATTTGATTCTCTTTTTTTTAATCTATATACTGTTATTATCATTTCTTTAAATTTTTGAGTACCTTATTGACCAGGTTTCCCTCGAACACGTACCGGTAGGTCTGAGTACATGACAAGAGTGCTGTAGGCTTTAGTTCTCAAATGTTTAAGACGTCCTACTCTTGTCTTATAGAAATTGAAAGTTAATAAAAACATTAAAAAGGAGGGCACCATAGAAAACCCCCGACAGGAGTAAAGAAAGGCTGGTGTGGCTTTAAATCATCGAAAAATAAGGCATATACATACAGCACATACCACCAGTGAAATGTTATCGCTATAGTTTTTTTTACATAAACAGGTGGGAGTTTGTACATTGCACATGGAGAGCAGAGGGGTTCAATTTGTGATGCAGTGAAAATCTGAGTAATAAAGGAACATTTTGGCATTATGATAAAAGAGCAACGAGGTGATGGAAGGTTTAAGGGAGAATAGAAATAAGGTAGATGATCTTATGACTTTATGATCGAGATGTCATAGATGTCTAGGATCTGTTCGTATTCTAAAGGTTAGATTTATTAATCCTCTTTTTTCATTGCATCTTCCAAAACTTGATGCTATCAGAATGAACAATTCTTCCATATTTTTCACCTCAGAACAAAGAATTGCTGCTTGATTTTAGGTTGATGAAGTTAAACAATAGCCTTTTTCTTCAGCTTTAATTATCAGGTCCTTTTTTAATTCTTTTCAAAATCCTTTACTTTACCAAAAAAGCTCAGCTTGTTTTTTTAAACAGAAAGGCTGCATTAATATGAACCATGTCGCTTTCTCAGGTCAGGACAACAGATGATTTTCAATGCTCCAAAGACACGAAGCAAACTCTCTGGAGTCAGAACTTAACCTCCTGTAAAAAGTAACTGTGATTTACCTTTAAAAAAATAAAGAAAGAAGTTATTTTTTCAGTGTTGTATACCCTTTCGTAAAAGTTTTTATTGCTTATGTGTCATGTATTGTGTAATCTGTGTAGATCTATCGTCTCGGGGCTTTATACTATATGCCTTCTGATGAGGCTCGGTTATCTTATTAAAAGCAACTCTGGAAAATAACAAACCTTAAAAGGACCTTCAATTTAGTCCACCTCTCTCTATTTATTTTTTTTTCATTGGTCTTATATTATATTCTAATATTAAATATTGTGGTAGCATAACATAACCAACATAACATAAATAAAGGCTTGAAAATGTCAGCCTGTCAAGATATTTCACACTGTGAACTGAATTACTAAAATACAAAAAAATGAATGTTGTTCTAATTTATTAAATATTACTGTGGTCAACAAGGCGTTGTAGTTTTTCAAGTTTTTGATTTGATTATTTTGAGTTGAATCACTGTCTTACAAGCTCAATAACAGCATAAGCAGAGGTTGAAAAAAAAAACATAGCCCCAACAGGAAAGCAATAATCTGTAAATCTGTGATTCTATACAAAGCCGAAATGTTGACATGAGGGAGTTGAGAAAAAAAAAAAAAAAAAAAAATTTGGTCAAACAAGTTAAGATTACTGATTAAACTCAGAGAAATTGCAATCATTCTGTTTGTGAGCTGACAAAATTATTAATTAGAAGTCAATATGAGTTAAGATTAAGGACAGTAAAAGGAGGCGAGTCTATCATCTGATCCTAAAGACGAACAAAATGAGGGATATGATTGAAAATGTCAGAAGAAACAGGAACCAATCAAATGCTATTACCATCATGGGAGAAGAAGTGGAGGTGATGGAGGAGTATAAATAACTGATCAACACACTGGATTGGGGACACATGACGGGATCGAAGGGAACAGATTACTTCTCGGGAAAGCTTATATCCTTTGGTGTTTACAGCAAAATCGTAAGCTTCCATGGCTCTGTCCATGGAAGCCCTGTGGTGGAGCTGAAACCTTTGAAGATGATTTCTTCATAAAAGACAGACTGCTACAGGAGATCCTTTCTGCCTACAGCTATAGACATCTACAGTACAACAATAAAAAAATAAAAAAATAAAAAAAAATAAAAAAAAAACCCTATGAGGCCCAAAAAGTCCAGGAATTATGTCATTCTTCAGTTGTGTCGTTTTAATTATCTAATTTCACCAGCATTTTTATTTGTGCATGCCAAATGTTCCTTATGTAATGTAAATCCTTTATTGTACCACAATGGGGAAATTCACTCTTTGCATTTAACCCATCCCCTTGGGGAGCAGTGGCCTGCCATTGTGTGGCACCCGGGAAGCAGTGTGGGGTTTAGGGTCTTGCTCAGGGACCCATTGTGGCAGTCTGTGGGAATGAGTGGGAGTTGAACCTGAATTTAGCCTTCTGTTTAAAGATAGGACTATTTTGATCTCACAACGGAGAAATTCACTTATGACAACTAAAAAACAACAGGAGGTTCAAAAGAAGGACAAGTAAGTGAGAAATACAAATAAAGCAATACAATACAATGCTTGCCGGTTAAAAACACTGTGCCGTCACTTAGTAGGCTCTTTGCATTCTCTGCAAACTATCATATCATCTGTTGGTATGCTTGTGGTTTCGTTTCTTTTCTTGGAAATGAGAATTGGATAAGCAAGAGAGTAGATTGTGTGTGTCAGTGATCAAGTA